TTTACTTGCTTTATCTTATTGCATTTTCCTGAATTTGTTTTCTTACGGTATTCCTCAAAATTTCTTTCAAATACAAACTTTGCATGGTAAATTGATTGAGACTTGTATGTGTGGAATTTATTTTTCCCTTCAATTTAAATAAGAACTTGTTATTAGCTTGATGTAGTTTCTCGGTTCACGTCCTTGTCCTTTAGCCCCAATATCGTGGGTGTTAATACTCTACTGTCCAGCATCAATTTTGAGACATCTGATGTCAGTGATCATCTTCTTTTATGAAGGGTAATACTTTTCTTTCTTTTAATCTATAATCTCTAATCTACAGTAGTCATAAGTATCTCTGTATTATGCTTTGCTGTGAATTTTTTCTTAATGATACATTTCATAGTTCTGAGTGTCCTTTCAGTCTAAGATTTGAATATTTCTATACCTGGGAAAATATTTGTCATTATTTCTTCTCCTTTTAGGATTCACATTTTACAGATATTTTGCACTGCTAGTCCTGTGCTTTATTTTGTGTTTTTCTTTTTTTCATCCTTTTCCTATTCATTCTGAAAAAGTTCTTCAACCCTGTGTTCCAACTCAGTAATTCATTGTTGGTCTTCAAAAGCTATTTTTTTTTCTATCTTCTGAGTTTTTATTTCAAACTGCTGTATATATTTTTTAATATAATAGTTTATTTTTATATCATTTTGTAACTCTTTCCATCTCAGTTGTAATTCCCCATGGGCTTTCCATCACCAAATCACCCGTGTGCCATCACCATCATCCAGTGCAATTCCCCCCTACCCCATTTTTGACCCCATTCCCCATTTGGTATATAATTGTTCATTATTATTATTGTTTCCCCCTGCCCCCAGCCCTTTATACTTCTGCTATGAGTGAAAACACCCTCTATTTTTCTTCTTCTTTAAGCCATATTTCACTAAGCATGATCTTTTCCAGCTCCATTCATGTTACTGCGAAAGGCATGTGTTTATTTTTCTGGTTGCTGAGTAATATTCCATTGTGTATATGTACCACATCTTTTTACTCCAGTCCTCCACTTTTGGGCATTTGGGCTGTTTCCATGTCTTTCCAATTGTAAATAAACCAGCAATAAACATGGGGGAGCAGGTATCTTTTAGAATCATAATTTTATTGTCTTTTGGATAGATACCTAGGAGTGATATTGCTGTATCACATGGAAGCTCCATTTTTAGCACAAACTGCTGTATTTTTAACACCCCCACCTCATTTTCTATTCCATATTTCTAAAAATCTTCCCTTTTAAGATGCTGTTATGCTAACATTCTCTTGCTCAGTTGATTCTGTTTTCTCTGCATGAGTTTGCTCCATTTGTTGTTTTTTTTCTTCCAGTACTTTGATTTCTTAGAGATTTAAAAAATTTCCTTGTGTGTATCTCTCATTTCCTTTCAACAGTCAGACACCTTGGCCAGTATTTTTAACATAAGTAGAAGGATAGAACACTATTAACTTGTATTCTTACAATTCTAATAGCACAAAACCTCTAATTCTACGTTGGCTGTAAGCACTTTTTTCCATTGTTTCCTCCTACTCCTTTAAAAACAAAGCCAAGCAAAACCACCACCCATCACAAACATACAACTACTAATAGTATTATCCTAATCAACCACTTACTGCTGCTGCAGTTACCTACTGTGGCATAGAGACACGGAGGGCTTGGTAGGACCTCACCTGATTGCTGACACCATCCAAACTTGTCTTCATGATGATGAGAGATGTCTGACACTTGTTCATGGACTTTATGCTCTGATTTAGGTATAATTTTGGGTGCTAGGATAAAAAATTAAAAAGATGCAATTGTGTCCACTTCATTTTAGTGGTATCAGTGGAAGAGTAAATAGGCATTTATAATAACATTTGGCAAACTGATGGGAACACGTGAGAAGCGTTTATTGCTTCTTTTATGGGAAAGAGAGAAAGAAGCTTTCTCTAGTGGAGGTGTGGTTGAAGGTGAGTCTGGAAGGACTTTTCATTTTTTTACTTTTGTATTTTAAGCTTGGCGAAGAGGATGGGAGAAAGTAGCATTTGAAACAGAGAACAGGTGTCGTAGTGAGTGCAGTCAGATTGGTTGTCTATCTGGCTGTTTCTGTCACTTTCTGTGGTATAGTTGTGACAAGATAATATAGGAGTTGGAGGTTGGGTGAATTGAAGTATAGTAGGATATTTGCAGTTTAAGAAGGGATTTATGAGCCCCACCTGCCTGGTGGAGCAGGGATTAAAGTCTTAGCACCATCAAGCTATCACCAGTCTTGAAGTCACGGTAGCATGAGTTCAAACCCTGGCCAGGTAGCTAACGTACATGTTGCAGCAGACTCCTCATGTCTAATTCATTGCTCCCCTCAGCAGTGTACTTCAGTAAGTCTGCCTGTTCTGCTCCCCATTCTGTCTCTGGTGAATCCTCTCATCCTGTGCACCTCTGACATAGACCCCAGTTCTTGTATGAATAAACTAACACAATAATAAAATAAAAAAAGAAAGGAATTGACGTGACCATGTTTGTTTTAGAAAGAGCTCACCATACTATAGAGACAACATGGACATGGGGCAAGGCAGCAGCCCATGAGACATAGTAAGAGACTTTACAGTAATCTGGGATTGGTGATGGCTGAAATAAGGCTGTAATTGTGAAGACAAGAGGTAGTTAAATCTAAAAGGCGAGGTTGTTGATACCCAGGACCTTGTAGTTGATGTTTGATTATACTTGATCATGAGGACAGAGAAGTTTCTGAAAAACGCCTCATTTTCTTTCAGATGTACCATTCAAAATGCACGTTTTCTTAATGTTGTTGGATTTCAGATATCACCTGGAAACATAATGAAGCAGTAGCCCACCTTTTCTTTCTTTTGTCTTTTTTATAGGCCCAGTTTCTTATCACTGACTCCAAAACACAAATAGCATAGAATAACAGAAAATTTTCCTAAAGTTTGTGGCAAACTTGGTTGACAGTGAAAAACTGTCAATGAAACTATTTATAGTCTTTGTTTATCCCACTCTATGTGAATGTTCCTGTTTCCTTCAGAATTATTGTATATGATGATGAAATGCTGCTTCAAGCCTTCCTGTCAGTTTTATTTGACATAAGTATGCTTTAAATACAAAATTTTCTGAGGAAGCATGTCTATCTCTAGTGGTTTCAAATAATAAATTATGGACTTGTACTTTAAATCTGAGCATTTTTGTTCTTTTATATTGCAATATCATTTCCTAATAAGAACCATTATGTGACATTGTAGCCCTCGGGGAAAATGAGGTATATATCTATTATATAGCACAAACTCCAAGATAGATTGCCAAAGGAAGGCATAAAAAAGTGTGCATAGTATGCTTTTGTTTGCATTTTAAAAAATAGGAAGGGAGAAGTACATATACACACACATGCATAGATATCTGTGCATATGTAGGCATGATTAGAATTTATTAATAGAAGGACAAAGAGCTCATATCATTGATTGAGATTTGGGAGTCAGTGTTTAGATGATAGGTATGTACATACACACCTATTGTACTGTCAGATGTTTCAGTACGTGCATATTCTTTTTGTTTAAAATTGAGATTATACACATGACTGGATAATTTTGAAAACTTGAAGCTTTAATTTCCAGCTCTAATAAATGCATTTATTTCATAATAATAGGGCTAAAAGTGATATATGTGCACATGCAGACACACATACATGCTATTAGCCATTTCTGATACCGTTTTTATTTGTTTCTGATACCCTGTTTTTATTTGTTTTAGGATTGCATCCAGAGATGAATTTCAGAAGTCCTTAAATTTTTAAATGTTGGCTACATAGCATTTCTAAGATTGCCAGAAACAGGGAGTAGAAGAACATGGGTAGAGATAAGGATAATCTCTTAGAGATAAGAGATAAGTAGATGTTGGGATTTATCCCTAGTATTACAGACCAAGCAGTGGAGAGCAAAGAGTAGAAGCCAAGAATATATTTTTCAAGCAGCAGAGCTGAAGGGAAAAGATATGGCATGACAAAAGATTGTATAGCAATGTAAAGGAAATGGAGAAGGTATATTTTTGACATAAAAATAAATAGGAGGCAGAAATAAAGAGAATAATAAGGTGGGGAGACCCTTTCAGAGAAAGAAAGGTGTGGAGGAAAATTTAAATACTATGAGTGCAATATTTCTGTTTGTTGTTGGCTGTTACATAATTTTTTTTTGCACACAGTAGAGGATAATTTTATGTTAAAATGATATTATAGTAGAAAAAAATTGCTACTTGGGGCAGAGTGAGAAAAATCAAAGTCCATTTGTCACTGATAAATAAATTCATATAAATTGAGGTCAAGAAAAACATCCAATTAATTACCACATTTTGTCAAATGTATACTTAAATTATCTTTTCTGCTTGCATTTTTAATTCCATCCACAGTCTGACAGTAAAAGCAAAAATTAAATACTTAAACTTTATCATGCTGTTTGATATGTGTGTTTTCTTTGGTGATATTTTAAATATTAAATCATTTTAGGTCCTAGCTTGTAGTGTGCATGAAATTAATAAAATATCAGAAAAAAATTAAGATTTAGATAGTTATATACTCATAAACATATTCTTTATTCTTTATACAAAAATTCAATTGATGGATGGATTTTTGATAAATCAAATATGGTAAAATTTCAATTGTAGAATTTAGCTGGTGTATAGAATCTGTATGTTTAAATATTTCATTATGAACTGGAAAAAACAAACTAATGAGAAATGAACGGGTATTATATGACTACTAAGTGATACATAAGACATTTTTTTGTTCTTCACTCTTAGTTTCAACACTAGTAGAAATAAAAGAATTAGCTGTTTCCTTTCTATGAAAATTTTTTGTCCTCAAAATAGTTATTATGAATAAGAATAAAGATAAATGAAAAATTATTAGGGTTTATCAAAACACTTTTGGGGTGAACATAAATTATAGCAGACAAGGTTTTAGCAACTATTTAAAACTTTTATTCTTCTATTTTAGGGAATCTGTAAACATCAAAGCTGGATTAGAACATCTGGTAAGTTCTAATTTTCTCTTGAACATTTGCATCATCTTTGATATCTGCATTCTAAATGAACACTTTTGAATGAGCTTTGAATACCTTGTATTGAGAAAGTCAACCATTTCCCAGAGGGTCAGCTTACTGTTATTATGTGAAGGCACTTACATTTTCATTTATCTTACCATTTCAAGGGAATTTAAAATTTTTTTAAATTACTTTTTTTTTTTTTTTTGATGTAGAGATGAAATAAAATGGATGACAATCCTTGGATTGATGCTTGCTTTAATTATAAACAAAAATTGGTTGGTGTAGAATTTTTGGCATATCTTGATCAGACAAAAAACAAGCTTGTGTTTTACAAAAAACACAATCAAATATTGCATGCATAAATATGGTATGTTTTAGCAATTTAACGGCTTTGAGAGAAGTGCACAGCTTTGTTTTTCCTGATGTCTTTGCTTTATGAATAATGCATTGGTTTAAGCTACATTCAGGTTTAGAATATAAAATAATTGAGATGCGAAATGGTTGGTGTAAGTAAACATTTTTAAAATACAAGTGAAATTCAAGTCAACAACATTAAAATCTGTCTGCTGATCAAAAAATTGGAAAAAATGTAATTTATATCAGGTTCAAAATTCACTGAGCTCTCCGCATTGAGTGTTCATTACAACATTAAGTAGTTCATTTAAACAGAGCATTATAAAGTCATGCTCTGGTTTCTGGTCAAATCCAAATGTTGAATAATTAATGTTAGAGATTCTTTTGTAAATACAATCTAAGTACTTTTTAAATGCAAGACTTCATTCGTATATCATATTGTAGCTTTGTTAACTATTAATGTGCTTTTGTTCTACTTCCACAAAAGCAAGTATTTCAAGAGGCAGCCTGATTTGACTTATTAGTAGTTTTAAGGGACAGTTAGGAAGGGATTTTAGTTTTCTTTTCAATAACTAAATGAAGGTGAAGAAAGTCAGAGTTTCAATAATTTTCCTAAAACTATAAATTCATTACTAAAAAGCAGAGTGTCACAGCCTACTTTGAAATCTGGACTATGTATTTGTCCAGTTGGCAGGTAAATAAATTGAAGTGTTATTCTCATAGTTAAAAATTATTTCCAAAAGTCCTATTTATTATTTCATAGTGACATATATACCTAGTACATATGGACATTGCATTAAAAATGTTGCTATTAGGCATCACTTTTCAGTGCGGGCCTTCTTACAAGGAAGTGCAATGACTATAGTGCCAAAATGACCGGTCTTTCATACTGCCCCGCAAATTAGTTTTTGTTCAAAAGACTGTATTTACTTCGTTTGCTTTCCTTAGTAAATAATGAGGTTGCTTTTTTCAGTTTAAATTTCATATGTTTTATACATTTACTAGTGAGATTTCATTTTCCATAACCCTGTCATACATTAATACTCGACTTAGAATCTCAGCAGCAGTTGTTTGGTTTTCTAACTGCTTGGTGCTGCCAAAAGGGCTCCCCAAAGCAGGAGGCATCCCAAGCTCCCCTGCCCACTTACCAGCGAGCTCCACTCTGATTATGTAAATTCTTACATTTTGTTAAATAAGATTTCATATGAAGAAAGAGTCTCTAATTAAGGTATTAAAAAACCTTTGATGAAGTATACTAATTAAAGTTGGATATTCTTACTCTTGTATTCTTGATTCTCAGTGATATTTCATCTTTTTCAAATGTATCAAATATAATGTATTTTATAGCTGTAGATACATACACAAAAATTGTCGACAGTGTTTTATTTATTAAAATGATGCTGCATTTTAGGGGTGAAGGGACCAGAATTATTAGCACAACAGATAGTATGATGTAGATGATTTTAACACATTAATCCAGGTTGTTCAAAAGATTCTATAGTTTGACATTGTAAATTTGACCCAACATCTGTGAGTTACTAACAAAAATATGAATATATAATATTATATACTATATAATGATGCACACTAATGATATTCACAGAAATCAATGATAGTCTTTATAGCTATCTAAAAAGGAAGTGAAAATAACAGTTTATTGGTTGAGCATCAGTGAAACCTATATGCTCAGCATTGTACGCTCCTTGGGTTTATTCTCTCCACCTTATAACAAGCAGTACTTACAGCCCTTCTCTTCTTTCTAGGACATGTAGCTTTTTGTATTGGTTGCTTGGCCAAACACAATTAGGAGTATGGCTTCTGAGAGGTTGATTTTAAAAAGCAGTGGTACTTTGGAAATATGTAGTGTAAAATGAAAACAAGAAGAACATTTCCTACATTTGAAGTTAAGACATTGGTCTTCTTACTAGTCTTTGTCTTCAAATTAATTTGGATTTTTATAGAGAATTAGCATTATTCTAAGAGAAGGTAAAGCCAGTGTCAATTTAAATATGTTCAGAAAAATGGCACAAGAATGTTATATATGTCCCACAGACATATTTGTGGTAGCTTTTGGTTATTTGTAACACAGTTATTTGTAACCCCAGGAAAGAGAAAGCATATGTGGTTGTAGAGAGAAGAGAGTTGGAGAGGTGCACTGTGCTCCTAGCAGCTTCTTCATGGACTCATTTCAGTTATTTAATTTCACAAGTCCTTGATCAGCCTTTGTTCTATTATTCCTTTCTATGTTGTAAACCTTTCTTGGGAACTGTCCAGCATGTCATTTTCATCCTAAATCTCTTACAATATACTGCCCAATACTACTTTTATCTTTTTCCACACCCTGTCCATTACCCACAAAGTCTATGTCTGCTTAAAGTTCTAGACAGTCCTTTGAAAGTTAGTGCCTCACCATCTATTGTTAATCTTGCCTGATCATTACAAAGTGGTTTTTCAACTCCAGTCGTATGTAGTGGCCAGCATTCTATTGTAAGAACTCACCCTCTTTATTTATCTATCTACAAGGGCTCATGAAATTTTATTTTACTAAGCTGGTTTTTACCTATTTCTTTTCTTGTTTATTTTGGTGCTCAAATTTCCCTAGATTTGTCCAGGAAGTAGCTATCCAACATGATTTTAGGGCCCCTTTTATATGCTCCATCTTTTTTTTTTTTTGTTTAAGTACTTCCTTGTTTCTGGCACAAGATATTCCAGGCTCGTCGTAAACATTCCCACTCCTCATATGAGTGCCTTTTTCAGATTACCCTGTTTTGTGTTAAAGGTATATGGTATTTAGAAGTCAAGATCTAGACATATGATGTGCTTATTATCCCTGAGGTTTCATTACCCCTTGGACCTCTTAGTACTTGAGTCCATAGGTAGGTAGGTCGACTTATATTTTTAATAAATTGGAAGTTATACTAATACCTTGAATTTCAGTTTAAATCACAGATTCTGCCTCATTTCTCCCATTTCATATGTATTTTCTTCACAAAAGTGAGAACTCTGATTCCTAATAGCACCATGACATTTGTTCACTTGTTCAATCATATAATACATATAAAGTTGTTCCAGATTCTCTGCATCTATACCTTGTGAAAATAAAGTATAAAAAGTTCAAGATTTATTTGTAGTTCTTTGCCTCCTTGTGTTCATTTGAAATTGCATTCAATTTTAGGTGCCTTTGTCTCCATTCTTGTGTACTTAAATATTAGACAATTTATAATGTGAATGTACAATTTATAATGTGAATGTACTTCCAAAAGTAAAAATTACGCAAAGTATTGTTCTCAGAAAGGTATCTTTCTCTTTTTCTAACTTATTTCCTTCTACTCCTTGTAACTAGCCAATTTTTTTTTTAAAGATTTATTTATTTATGCATACAGAACTGAGGTACAGGCTAGAGGCTCAGGGGTGGTGAGAGGCTTCACCAGAGACAGAGTGGGGAACAGAACAGGCAGATTGACAATGTACACTGCTGAGGGGAGCAGCGGGCGGGTCAGGAGAGGTCTGCCACACCATGTGGTCACCTCCAGAGCGGGCGGGAGTCGAACTCATGCGGAAGGGGCTTTAGATTCTCAGTGCTGTGCTTTAACCCACTGTGCCACCAGGGAGGGCCGTAACTAGCCAATTTTAACTATTTTATCCTACTTCTTTTTATGAAATTAAGCACATGTGTATGTATTCAAACATCTTATTTCTCAAAATTATCATATATAACTTTTTGTACTTTGTTAAATTTTTTTTCTTTATTTGTACTTTGCTGTTTTTCAGTTAATCCTGGAAATCCCTCAGTTATTACTGTGTGTGTCATTATATTTCTTGTGCTTTCTTTTTTCTTATTTGGCTGTGTCTTCTTTGTTAAGGAACTAAGATTTTAGTCTATGTGTCTGCCATACTTTAACAGATGCTGGCAGAGGACAATGATTCCTGGGTCAGAGACAAAACACTTTATCACTAATAAAAGATAACACATGTTTTATCACAGAGGGTAGCACATGCTTCATGTTTGTGTAGGTTCCCCCGAGCCTGGTTTCTCATGGGGTGATGCCACATACCCACTTGGTTTGTGTGAAAACTGAGAAGCTCCATCATTTGGATTTCTTTAGGAAGCTACTAGAAAATCTGTCCAAACTTTGCCCAAAGGAAAAGCATTATCTTTATTGTCCTAGTTAAGTAATAAAACTGTCCTTTGGCCTAGAGGAAACTATATCTTCCAAGACTTTTTGCTTATAATTATCTTTGAAAAATGGTTCTGAACTCAGACTAGTGACCAAGGTAAGATGTACAGAACAATACAGAGAATTGTCTCTTAAGAACTGTTTTTATTACTAAATTGTTGTTTGCTTTAGTGATTACTTTTGCGTTTATATCTTTTGTCGTGCTTTTAATCGCCCCGATTCCTGCACAACCTCTTACATGAGACCCATTGCTCCTATCGAACCCCTTGATTACACCAGTGCTCCTGTGGTGCTTCCCTTTTTTCCTGTTCCTCCCATTCTGCTTTATTCTTGCTACTTTATGAAAACTGCTGTTTGCATCCTTTTCTTCCACCCATACTTATCACCTTCTTTTCTAAACATAAATATGTACCATCAGTTAGTTTGCTGATATTTTCACACTTATCTCCTCTTTGT